AAGGTTGAGGAACCTTGGCATAGACCATTTTATTCTTGGTGTGGGTAGCACTGTTGCCCCATAAACCTCTCATTGCTTGCAAGTGGGTTGCACATCCATAACACAGTCATCTCAAATGAGGTGAATAGCCTAGTGGGCAATGGTTGGGACTTAATCTGTTGCAGCTACAGTGGACTCTTCTTGCCTAGTGCTCAAGGCCCTCTGCAAGCAAAGCACACAAGCCCTCTTGGCTCTTGCAGTGACTCCTGATTTTCCTGTGCTTTTCATGCTTCAGCTCTAGTTTCTCTCATTCACTCCTCTCCCCTTCAGCTATCGAGCATCCTAATGAACATTGCACAGAATTGGAAATGGCTGCCATGATGGCCTAGGTGCCTTCTTTGCATGTCTGATTCAGGGCTTTCCTTTCAGATTACACCAGTGGTCTTTAGCTATATCTAAACCTGGATTTGGAGACAGTTATCTGTTTCAGAGATCAACCTGGTGGAGTCTAAGCATTGCAGCGCCCAAGTGGCTTGGCCTGTTGAAAGACTTCAAAGGATGGTCATTCACAGGGACTGCATAGAAGACTATCCTCTTTTCTATTAAAAAAAAAAAAGATTCTGAAACATGCCTAAACTTATGTAATCAAAATGTGTATTCGAAAAATATGCACATGTTCAAAATACATTTCTGTGAACTTCAGGAATGATACGATACATGATCCCTATTGTCAGAATCTGTTCCTAAATTGAAAGTACTGTATAAACCGCATTTCTGTGGTTACTCATGAACCTTCTAGCCAAGCAGTAGTTTGAACCTAGGTTTCCTACAGTCAGCTAACAACTACATTAAGAGTATTATGGTAGATTCTTGTGGGAGTGGTGGAAAGAAACTTCAAAGTCAAATTCAAAGGCTTTACTCTGAGATGCACCCCCCACCCTCGAATTGCAAGAAGCATGAACAGAAAGCATGAGATGAGTAGCCTAATGCTCCTGGGTGGCACCAGGATGGAGAAACTGAATGTGAGTAATTAGCAGGTAGAAACAGTTAAATATGTTCACTAGCAGCACCAGAAGTTCAAAGCTGCTATTGATAACAACAAATATCAGTAAAATATTGTTGTTTGATAGCGGCTTTATTGTTTCTTGTTTCCATTGCCCTGGAACTGTTTTATAGCAAAGGGGAGAACCTAAGAAAACAAATAAAGCAATGGCTTCACCAACAATGGTGTCAATTTCTAAGATATTTTGTCTTATTTTCCCACTAACAAGGCCCTGTGATTGGCTTTTGATGCCCTGGGACTTGGAGTCCCCACTTATCTGGAGGGCACCCAGGGAGAGAAGGGAGCATGACCTGAAAACCAATAGTGATATATGGCAAGCATTTTGCTGGAACTGTACGATGTGGTCCCAGCTTTGCCCGTCCGTGCTCCACAAAGAGGGAGGCAGAACGGCAGTAGTGGCTTTTGATCGGTTGGGCCCTGAGGATTCCTGAAACCTGCCCTGTCCATCTGCCCAGGTTGCCTTTAATTTTCTGGCTATATCACCCAAACAGCATTGGCCGTTTGGAGGGTTTTCTAGCCCATGATGAGAGCAGATTATTCCCTCCTGTCTGTACTCATCCTGAACAAGCAAAACTGGCGACCATGTGACACAGAGCGGTGGACTGAGCCACCAGGGACCTTCCCATATACTTATGACATCTTGGAATGAGGCATTGGGCCCATGATCTGGTGCAAACAGGCCCTTTCCTGCTGCTGCAGATACGGTATTTTGTGCTCAGCAATCTCAGGTCCTGGCAGGCTATCCCAGCTGGGCTGCACACACAGAATGGCAAAGGTGTAAAATATAGCCGTCCTTTTAAAATTTTAATTTTGCCTACGAATTTTCTTTCCTTCTGTCCAGAAAGCGATTTCTCCCTTGCAGCAAGGGGAGAAATGTCCTTGAAAGTCTCAAAAGCTCACGTGCCCTTCATTGGACAACACAAATGACGTGCATTAAAACCGTTATGATTTTAATATGTCTGTAGAGCTAAAGATAAGAACTGTTAAACAGAAACTTGTGGGGTCCAACTGAGAGGAAAAAATGTCAATTGCCCCTGTGTTCAAAGATTCTAAAAGGATAAGCCCCTTTGATTCTGAAATTCTGGCAAGGTGTTTTGCAGATCAAAACTGCATTCTGTATACCTTCTCCTATTAATGAGGGGTTTGGAGTTGTACGATCACTCATACCTTTCCCTTCTCTTAACAGCTGAGCGGAGGCGTTCTCTTGGCAAAGACTACCATCCCCTCTGCCTGAAGTGCCACCATTGCAAACGGCAGCTCAGTCCTGGCCAGCATGCTGAGGTATAGAACAAACCACCACATCTGCCTCCTCTTGTAATTTGTTACCCCCTGAGAGCAATCTCTCCTGATAGAGGGCTTCATTTTCAAAGGCTGCCTGGAACTGGTTTGCCAGTGAAGGCTGCTTTAATCTTTTGGCTGGGCAAAGGGAAGGGGGCCCTGGCAGGAGAACACATAGGTTACAGTTGGCTCAAATCCAGCAGAATGGAATGTGGGTATGCAAGAGAGGGGGGAGAAAAGGTTTATATATGGCAAGAGGAACCTCAGTTTGTTTGTATCTGTGCATACGTTGCATCTCTGTATACAGAACCCTCGTATATGTCACCCAGAGGCTCAGTCAGTTTTGGCCAAGATGCCAGGTTTGCTGGAGAGATGAGATGTAAGCATTGTCCCCCCTTAGGTGGCTCCCAGGGTGTCTGTTTCCTTTGGTTTTTGGAATCCAACTTGATGTCTTGAGAACTGTGGCAACTCCCACATGTTTTGTCCCACTCGTTCCTTCATGGAGCCTCCTCCCCAGATGCATGTCTCTTAGTTATGTTTCAGCAAGCAGGTCGACTGTGATGGAATGCTGAGCACTTCATTTCACAGAGAAAAAGACTAATTACAGTAAAGGCCTACCAAGCTTGACAGCTGAGGGGAAGACTCAAAATAGCTCCAGTTCTGTTCAATTACTATAGTGGATGCCACGACAAATATCTGAATGCCATGAAAACCAGCTAAAGATGGCTTCAAGTCATCTCAACTCTGGGTGACTGAATGGACATGCAGTTTCTCAATAGTAATAGGAACATGGCTTGCCTTTTTCTGTTGTGGTTCTTGTTTTAACTTTCCCATCTGACCTACAATTCTGGGATTCTCTAGTAGTCCCCTGTCCAAGTACTAATGGAGGCCAATCCTCCTTAGCTTCCAAATCCAGACAAGGCTGGTCTGGCTCATCACCCCATTGGAATATAACAATAATGAATGGAGAAGGTGCATGGACTAAATCCAGCTACCCCAGTAACTCCAAGCTGCCTCTAGCAAGAGAGGCTTTTGCACCCATTAAAACCTTAATGTCTTCCTCTTAAATTATCCTGTTGGGTTAAGGCATAGTTATTGGAAATGACACAAGTTAGCGATAATGCTATGTTGCTTTCAGTGATGCTACGTTGGAGGCATTGATGCAGAAATTTCAGTGCAACAGCAATAGACTATCTCTTATTGCTTGGCCAGAAAAGAGCGCAGAACCAAGAAACAACATCATTCCATTTCAGGGAAGGGAACTGTGAAGCACTGACTCCTTCTGTTGGATCACAGGAAAGGAGAATCGATTCCTGTGTACGTCCTTTTAGGGTGAAGCCAAAGCAGCAAATTAAGCTCACTGTCACTGCAAAGTGGTTTCCTTAAGAATGTCTGATCCAGTTGGCAGCATTAAATCAAGTTTTCTGCCTGGGATGCACGAACAATTCATAGTATATAAAATGGCCCTGACACAGCAAGGGTGTCTATCCTTTCAGCCACATTTAAAATGCTTCGGGAAGAGAAGTAAAAATATGCCCACTGAGCACAAAAATGTATAATTGCAAGACCCACTTCCTGAAATTTACTTTTCACAACCTTCCCTCAAGTCTGTTTTCTTCATTAAAGAGCTCTAAATCAGTGTTTAGTGCATGCTGGCTGGGGAATTCTGGGAGTTGTAGTCCACATGTCTTAAAGTTGCCAAGTTTGAGAAACACTGCTCTAAATTTAAGAATATTAAATTTAGGGTCAACCCTAACCCTAATATTATTCATGGAATCATAGCACATCTATTTGGGAAGGCCTGAAGATGCACAAAATACATTCCATTATTCCCTTTATTGTTTTGTTCTGTAGGCTATTTTAGTCTGTTGATACTGTTAGTACAAGTTTGGGTAAACAGTGACCAAAATCCAAGCAGTCCATACATGTCCCCTAAGAGGATTTAGTTTATTTTGGGACGGTTATGGATAGCCCTTTTACCATCTTGATTGCTCCACTGGTCATACCCTGAACTTTTTTGCTCAAGAGAATGGCTCCTTAGAAGTTGTTAGTTGACACGGGAGGAAATCCTCCTTCTAACTTTGATGGGGGCAATCCCAATGCAAATAACCGTTTCAGCGAAGGGATTTTCATTAGAATTGCAGCAAGGGAGGAAAGGGTTAAATTCACATGCTATGATCCTGTTAATTATTAACAGCCTTAAGCTAGGGATGTTATTTGCATATTTTAGCAGGGCACGTTAAATGGAAAGAAAGTTAACAATGAAGATGGAGATAAAACGTCTAAGTAAGTTTTCAGAAACAGGCTGCAAAAATCTTTGGAGAGATGCTGCCTGTCATCAGAGTTAGTAATGGACTAGGGAGAACAATGTACTGAGTTGGTCTAATGTAGCTTCCTAGGCTCATCTGGAATAACATAGATATGATCAAATTATGGAGCACAGGCATTGCTAGAAAGGACCTGAAATAAAAGAGGTCTGTTTGGAAAGGAACCTGTCTTGGAAGGCTGATTAATTGTCTTCCTTCTTACTGTTCCTTCCAAGCCTTCCCCAACTTGGTGTCCTCCAGATGCTTAGGTTGCCACACTAAGAATCCCCAGCCAGCTGGCAGTTTTGTTGTTCCAGTCTCAGTACCTCTGCAGGCATCAGTTGGAAAAGGCAGGATTCTACAATGGTGTAAACACATGCGTACACCCAAGCCATGTGTCCTCAGGTCTTAAACACAAGTATCTATACACATGGGAAGCTGGACAAAGCACATTATTCTTTCCAAGACTAGCACCCCTGACTCTGGCCAGATAGTTAAGCTCAATGCCATCTAGTGACTAAAAAACAAAACAACAGTCCAAACCAATGATGAAGGATTTTTATTAGTTATTGCCAGTTTCATTTTTATGATGGGGTTTATATATAAGGCTGTATGGACTATGTATGACTACTGTTAAGCAGCATCTCCTACCACTTTCTAGTAATGCCTTATTTAAAAAAAAGAGATGTGAAGCTGAGACCAGTGACTTCATGGTTTATTTTCTTTGGTATGGATTAGGAAATACAGTCCAGAACAGCACACGTTCTTGAGCTGTTTGGGTTTGTCATTAACATCAGTGATGATTTGGACATTTAGGAGTAATTCATGAAGTTTCATATCCAAAAACATGGTCTTCCCAATGGGTCAGCCCAGAAATTGCTGCATAATATGATTGTCCTGCAGATCAACTCTCAGTCTGGTGTCCTTTCATCGGGGATCAGCTCCTGAAACCAAGGGCACTTCCATCTCAACTCCCACAGTTCCTCAGAAGCACTTGTATTCTCTTCTGTTGATTCAAAACCTTGAGCGTCTGAGAAGATCACCACCTGCCCTGAGCTGCTGCATAACTTGTAGCAACCAAAATCTCTCCATCCTCATTCCAAGTAAAGGCAGGGGCAGCGGGAGAGAAGAAATGAAAAAACAAAGCAATCTGGCATGTCGCAAGGGGAGGTCCACCACCGAAGAGAAGGTGGAAACTGGCATTCTCATCCCTGCTTGCCGTGCCAAGGTTGCCGAGAAGGAGAGGAAAAGCTCTTAAGGGGTCTTTTCCTTACAAGAGCTGTTAAGGCTCCTAAGCTCAGGAGCCAGGAGGAAGGATGAAGCGAGAAGCACTCTCCAATGGGAAAATTATTTTATTTATTTATTTATTTATTAAATTTATATAGCCACCCATATCAATGACTCTGGATGGCTACCAATTAAAAACAAAAGAGAAACAGTAAGCAAAAGCAAGAACAGTCATCCCCAATCACCGCAGCCATGAAATGGGCACACCCACAGGGCTCCAGGCTCAATGGCAAAACCAAGTCTTTAAGGCCTTGCGAAAAGCCAGCAGGGTGAGTCTGATCTCCAGAGGGATGACGTTCCAGAGGGTGGGTGCCATGACTCTCTTCCGGAGTCCCGCCAAATGGCGTTCCCTTGAAGATGGGACCCAAAGCATGCCTCTCCTGCCGGATGAAACCGGTAGATATCACTAGGGAGAGACAGTGCGGTAAGTAGATCTTTCCCAGAGCTCTAGGGTTTCCAACTGAAAAACAAATTCGGAAGAGTTCCTCTTCCACAATAGCCAACATGGAACTAAATTGGCTTAGTTGCCAGACAGGAATGATGGCATTCAACTACAGGGATATGAAGGCAGGAAGGTGGAGGGACATTCAGACTTGCAAGATCTATTACTGTAACCCTATAATAAAAGTAGTATTAGCATTCATAACTTTGGTTTCCTTCTCTGGTCTACCTTGCAGAGGTGACATCAATCTTGCAAGTCTGAATCTGCCTCCCCCCTCCCCGCCTTTATCTTAAAGAGAACTAAGGAGGGTCAAGTCTGAGATGTTTTCTCAAATTACATTTCTGCTTTGGACTCAGATTTCTCTTATCTGATGGTTGTCTTGGCTGTGGCTCTTCCTCCTGTCCCTCAAGGTTGTTCTCACAGCCCATTACAGTCATGAGCCCAGTACCACGGAGATTGTGAAGAGTGCCTTTCCCTCAACAATAAGAAATTTCAGCACAACCAGGTAGTGTAGATGATGGTAAGACTTTAACTCAGGATTCAGTCTTGACCAACATTTTATAAATTAAGTGCTACATTCTACCAGCACCAACACCATTTCTCTGAATGGGCAAAACACACAGGTCAGGTTGCTCCAGTGCATTTTAGCCTTGAAGAATAGGCTATCCTGGGTGGGCC